AAAAATTCCGAACACGATATTATCATTTTATGTATCAATAAGTAGCTGTGAAATCATTCATTGATTAGCTTGTTAGTCAATGCTCATTCGAAGGGCATATAAGTAGATATGGATGGAATACGATAAAGTTTTAATCGAATATATTTGGCAAAATACGAATGCAGTGTAAATACAATTTTTTAAATTCTCTTGCTGTTCTTTGAATGATCTAGAGAGAATTTCGTATTAAAAATTAAAAAAAAAGTGGTGAAGGGATGACACAGATTATATAAAAATATTAACAATTATCGAAATTCTATAAATGTGAGTAGTTTCATCGTTTTAAAATTTTATTTCAATATTTAGTTACCTACATTTTATTTGGGAATAACTATTTTTTGAAATTAATAACATAGCCCCACAAAAAAAGTTCTGTATCAGAGATATGAGTACATAGGTTTTGTGAATTTTTTGATGTTGTATGCGAATCGGCGGCCCAAAAAGATGAACAGGTCATCAGCTAAAACATTTGCTAAACTAGAGTGAAATAGTGAGGATAAGGTAGAGCTTTGTAATGAAATGCAACAATTTGTAAATACTTTGAGAAAACATTTTCAAATAATATTTTGAGAAATACAAAGAAATATATGCAAATTAAATTTACATCCATGAGGGAATTAATTCCATCCCTAATATAAAAAAAAACGAATGTAAAAAACATTAGCCTTGTATTTTATATCATCAAATATACAGGGTGTGGCGTGTATAATCTATAAAAATTAAACTGCACCTTTATAACGATATTTGTAATAGAAAAGCCTTATACGAAAAAGTTCTATTTTTGCGTTTTTTTTTTCGTAAATTAAAGTTCAATTATGGATCAAAATATTTTCTCTGGAACGGTCTTGTCTGTGTGCTGTACGATGAGTTACGTGCTGTATACCAGCAACTCGTCGTTGAAAGATAGAAAGATACTTCTCAATTTTTGTAGTACAAAAAGTACAAACTAAGAAAACCAGATGTTAAAAAATACTGATATTTTCTTATTATAATAATTAATAGTAATTACTATCTTAAATGCATTGTTGTTACTGCAAGAGTTCGCAAACAAAACCACATCCGTAAGCATCTGTAGTTGCCAACTGCGTGCGCTAAACAAACTCTATTAAAATATGAAACAAAATGAAATAAAACTTACCATTTCTAGAGAAAATGTTGAAATTGATCCCCATTAGCGCGGATACAGGCATAGCACCGACGCACCCAATTTTGGAAAATATTTTCCCAAATTCCAGGTATTCTCCTAATTGTGCTAGCAGCTTCAAGTATACAGTTTCGCAATTCTTCCACCGTAGCAATATTGTAAACCAATGACTTCAAGTGACTCCAAAGATAAAAGTCCATTGGAGTTAGATCGGGTCACCGAGGTGGCCACGGCACAGGACCAAAGCGTCCAATCCATCGCTGAGGAAACATTTAATTTAAAACTGTCGTTACTTCTCGAGTACTGTGTAGAGGAGCCCCATCTTGAAAATAAAACATGCGTGCCCAAACTTGTAATGCCACATCGTCCAATAATTCAGAACCGGTTCTCCAAAAGATCAGCATATGTTAGTCCTTCAAAGAAATAGGGACCCACGAGTACATCGCCTATTATGCCATCCCAAACATTTACCTAAATCGATCGTGTGAGGATTTTCATCGGCCCATATGTGCATGTTATGGAAATTCACCTCATCGCGGGTTAATATCACCTCATCTGTTACACAAACATAAGCAGGAAAGTCTACTTGATTGGCACATTGCCGTAAGAACCATCTGCAAAATCACAATCCGGTAGTAAAAGCTGTTCAACTGATCACAGATGATCCGGGTGCAGCAGCTGGCGCCTTAAGATGCGATGTACGGTACGAGATGAGGTTCCTACTGGCTGTGCGAGTCGTTGAGTACTAATTGTGGGGTCTTCGTCAAGATTTTCCAACACTGCATCTTCAACATTAAGGTTTACTTGCTGACCACGTCCTTCTCTTTGAGAAATAACATTTCCCGTATCTCGCAGCCGCTGAACGCACTGTAGGATTGTATTTGCACATGGGGGGGTGACGTTGTGGCCATCGTTCCTGGTACAACCTAGTCGCCATGAGCGCATTTTTTTCGGCTGCACTATACACTAACACCATATCGACACATTCGGAAATAGTAAATGCATTGTTTTCTCGGTTCATTGTAAAACCAGTTTGTGCACAAACTAAAAAATTACACGTCACCATCGTGGAATTACAAAATAAAAGCTTTTGTCTGGAATCTTTCACTTTTAACACTGATGGGTCGATGGACGATGCTTAATATTTAATAATTAAGTGAATAATGAATTCAATACAAACAGAAAATCAGTTGACTGCACATATTTTTTGACAATGTAACCTAACCTTTTCTTAGTATTACTAGTATTAGATTATACCGACTTAAAATATAAAGTTGCATCTCTGGTCGCATAAAATCATTTCCAAAGTTTTTAATAAATAATACAGGGTCGGCCTTCATTTTCGTTGAATAAATGAACTTTAATTTACAAAAAAAAGCGCGAAGATAGAACTTTTTCGTGTAAGAGTTTTATATTATAGATAACATCAGGAAGCTATAGTTCAATTTTTATAGATTATACACGCCACACCCTGAATATATGCAGTATGATAGACAATATACCAGAAAATATAATATAACTAATCTTGCAAAGGGTTGGAAACCACTTCCAGATCAGTATCCCACTTGGCTTTATCCCTTTAAGTAACAAATTTTTCTATTCAATATTTTTGTCTGAGTTTTATTATCGTGGGTTAACATAATGGGGGTGTGAGAGGTCTGTTCAGAAAATAACTGTGTAACATTTAGTGTTATGAGGTTGGTAGCATTACGTTGAGTATAATCTCCTTCGTAACCAGATGTTGTTGGATTGTTGATATCTCATTTAATTTTCGAGATATTGTTATATAAGTGCACGGTGTTTAAGTGTTGGTGACAATTTTTGAAATATGCGATTTACTGGAAACAACGATGCTCTGGATCATCATTCAATTGGAAATGATCCTCGACCAGGAAGGCCGTCGGCTTCAAGTGATGACCGCCATGTTCAAAAAATCAAAGATCTGGTGCGTGCAAATCGCCTAGTAACTGTCAGAGAAATTGCAGAAGAGGTTAGCATCTCAATTGGGTGGTGCCAAGCAATGTTTACTGAAAAATTGAACATGCAGCGAAATTTGTTCCTCGCTTGACGACCAAACAATAGAAAGAAAATCGTGAGGACGTTTGTCTGTAACTCCTTGAACAATTCAATGACGATGAAACATTTGTTTTACGGATCATTACGGGAGACGAATGTTGGGTTTACAGATACGATATTGAGACAAAAGTTCAATCACCAAATTGGATTGGCAATGGATATCCATGCCCCCAAGAAAGCATGTCAGTTTCGGTCCAAAGTCAAAGTGATGCCCAATGTTTTTTCTACTTTAATCTGATTGTGCTTTTCGAATTCTTGCCTCAAGGTGAAACAGTGAACCGTGTGTACCATCAAGCCATTTTTCAAGGATTACGTGAAATAATCCGCAAAAATGCACTACGACAACGCGCCCGCACACTTAGCTTTGTCATTTTGTCAGTTTTGTGCCAAAAACAGATTACTGTTCTCCTCCACCCTCCTTACTCGCCATACTGGTTCCTTGTGATTTTTTTATCTCCGAAATTAAAATTAGCGCTGAAAGGGCGTCGATTTCAGACTATTGATGACATCAAAGCAAATTCATGTAGTTTGGATATTTTTAGCACAGACCTGGGATTTTTATAATTTTTGAAATAGAAAAATAACATATTTACGTGTCATTGCGTATTTTATATCTACAATTCTACATATATTATTAGTTTCAGGACGGTTTAAGTATTACACGTGAAGAAACTTTTGAAGTTTGAGTTTCTAATAAACCCAAGCTTTGCGATTCCATATACACTGTCGTTTTCAATAGTTTGGTCTAACGGATTTATCTGAAGAAGTTCTCAATAATTTGAGAGCGTTTATTCGGAATATGCTTACTGAATGAACAAATGTGACCCTGATCAATTTATTGAAGAAGTACTTTTACTCAAGACAAAAGATTGAAGTTTTTTATTCCTTTTATTAATTTTGTTTTATAAATGATTGCTTTATCTTTATTTTTGCTTTTCCTTTATATACCAGACTTTGTTCGTTTTTTTATAAAAACAGTAAAATAGGGCATATTATCTTTCCCCTCTTGTAAATTTTCTGACGGCACTATAGACAAATATGCATTAATATTAGGGAATATTTAAATGATACAAATCGGTAGATTGTCGGAAGAGGACTAATAATAGCACCTCATATGTTAAAAATATGATTGTTGAATATACAGGGCTGGAAAATCCACATGGTCCATCTGCCCTTACATGAGAGCGACAAAGTAAAGTAAAGAAATCCGTGCGATAGACAAGGATGGCTTTAGTGAAGACGTTTCATAATCTGAATAGTCACAGCCCGTTTCGGGTTAGAAGTAGGACTGACTATTCAGATTATGAAACGTCCTCAATGTAACCATCCTTGTCTATCGCACGAAGTTCTATGACTTACTTTATCGCTCTCACGTAACGGCCGATGTACCATGGAGACTTTCCGAACCTGTATAATCAACAGGGCTTTCTGATAACATGTAAACAATTACGAGTTCTGTTTAAAAAAGTCATCGAAGAAGATAAATCGACCTGTTTCAAAAGTATCTAATTTATCCCTAACTTTATCAAAATCGTGTATAACTTGTACTTATAAATTCTTGCTGAATTGTTAATTCCAATTTATTTTTCTCTTAAATTACCATCATTACGGGAACCGAGTATACAAACTGAAATTTAAGACAATTGAATTACATGTTTGAAAAGCAGCTTGATTTCTTAATGTTAGGTTGCTTAAGTATTCTGTAGCTTATGGGCATTCATTAGTTTTGTTTGATTTCTAGGCAATTGTTTTATCAGCAGTCATATCAGTGGAACAAAGATGGTGTAATGCGGTTAACGAGGTGAGTGACTAATCTCAATTACTAGAAACAATTTATGTACGTAAGTACTTCAGCATATCTCTAGATACGTCTGCTTTAGCTGTATGGAGAATCATTTAAATTCCCTGAACGTACTTGCCACAAATTACTTTAGAAATTCCTTTGTTCATATACAGCGTGTCCAGAAAGTAAGTGTGCAATGTAAAGCTATAAAGTTCTTACCTTAAAATAAATCAGTTTGTGTCAATTTACTAAATTCTAAATTGGTTTTGACCACTTTTGGGATAGTCAACTGGTTTTTACTCTATTTTAAAGGTGATATACTAATTTGAATAAAATTTTCCTAAAAATTATGTCAAATGAAATCAAGCAATATTGTTTGATATCAAAAATCTAGGTATATAAAAGTTTTCTAGCCTCTTAAGCAAGATGCTTAATTAATGATATTGCAGGAAACAACTACTTTAGGATATATGCCCCAGTAGCATTGGATTATACCAGCAATAACTAGTAATTAATAATTATCTAAAGTAAAACTTAAAAATTATATAGGGTAGCCCATCGAAAACGTACCGCAAGGCATTACAGGGTAGTAAAGAACTTTTCAGCAAAATCCAAAAACAGGTCAAATTTGTTTCTGAGGGGGACAACTTTTGGCTTAAAAAGCATACCAAAATCTTCAACTCCCTAAGTGGGGGTGCTAGCCCCTAAATTTTTTCAAATGGGAATATGGGTCAATTGGAGGGTCATTAGAAAGGGCTTTTAATTCTCTATACATCGATTCTTACTTTTTGAAAATCGATTCATTATTTTAGAAAATATGCAGCTTTGAAAATACGAACAATATTTTTGACGAGAAATGCGAAAATCGATTTAATTTTACTTCAAAACTTACGGTATTAGTCAAGTAAATGCTGAAAATGTTGTCCGCCAACTTGCATACAATGATACAGGTTGTCTTCAAACCGTTGTCGAACATTCTGGAGCACTTGCGGTGTTACTTCGCGACATACATTAATGATTCGTCCTCGCAGATCTTCCAAGGTATCAGGTGGAGTGCTGTAAACTTTGCTTTTAATGTGCCCCCAGAGAAAGAAATCTAAAGGATTTAAGTCGGGTGACCGAGGGGGCCACTCAATTGCACCTCTTCGTCCTATCCAGCGTCCTGGAAACGTCTCATTTAGGTAATTGCGCACATTGAGCGAGTAATGTGGAGGAGCTCCGTCTTGCTGGAAAATCAGTTCGTGTTCATTGTAAGCAGGGTCGTCCTCTATGATATTTGTTAGAGCTGGGTCGATGACATTTTGTAGTAAATCCAAGTACATATCGCCTGTCAAATTTCCAGGAAGGAAAAAAGGACCTACAATGGAATTTCCAAAAATACCTGCCCATACATTCAACTTCTGGGGGTGTTGGGAGTGTGTCTCATGGAAAATCCTTGGATTGGTATCAGCCCAGTAACGACAATTATGGCGATTCACTAAACCATTCAAGAAGAACGTACACTCGTCCGAAAAACACACATTAAAGAGGAAATTATCGTTTATCGCTCGTTCAGTCATTATTTCGCAAAATTGCAAACGACGATCAAAATCGTCTTCATTTAGCTCTTGCACTAGCCGAATCTTATAAGGATGGAATTTGTATTTTTTTAATATTCGTTGGACACTTGTACGACTCACTCCTGTCGCAGTAGCCAATTGCATTGTACTCAGCGTACTATCCATTGCCACTTGCCCCAATACCGCTATTTCCGTAGGTTCATTTAGTACCGGATTTTCAACCTGCCTCTTTTTGTTATGAACGGAGCCAGTTTCGCGAAATTTGGCCACCAATTCGCGAACAATTTTTCCAGACGCATGTTTCTCAGGATGCCGTTGGTTGAACAGTTCGGCGACCCGATTTCCGCATTCATTGTTTTTGAAAAAAAGCTCAATAATTTCTACTCTTTCTGGAATTGAGTACACCATAATTAATCAATTTAAAAGACTCGGCAGTATTGGTACTCTTCAACTACAAGTCACAAGACAGTTATCTAGCAACTTCTTGTGGCCTATCTAAATACGAAACAAAAAGCGGACAATTTTTTGCTCACCAAAATCAGGCTAAAGAATTCGCAAATCAGAAAAAAAAAAAGCGAATTCTTTTGAAGGAATTTACCAAGCTAATACCGTAAGTTTTGAAGTAAAATTAAATCGATTTTCGCATTTCTCGTCAAAAATATTGTTCGTATTTTCAAAGCTGCATATTTTCTAAAATAATGGATCGATTTTCAAAAAGTAAGAATCGATGTATAGAGAATTAAAAGCCCTTTCTAATGACCCCCCACTTGACCCCAATTCCCATTAAAAAAAATTTGGGGGATGGCACCCCCACTTAGAGGGTTGAAGATTTTGCTATGCATTTTGCGCCAAAAGTTGTCCCCCTCAGAAACAAATTTGACCTGTTTTTGGATTTTGCCGAAAAGTTCTTTACTACCCTGTAATGCCTTGCGGTACGTTTTCGATGGGCTAATCTGTATATTTAAATATTATTCATTGAAAAATGCATACCCGACATCATTACACAAAATCATTAGAGAAATACATTGTAAAAATTCCTGTTGTAGCAACATCTCCTTTGACAACGACTAACACACAAAAATAGCCACGACAGATAATATCTTAACCACTTCTGCATTTTGAGGATTTTTTATTCGAGAACCTTATTGCAAATGGAATTAATACATATTAATAGAACAAAACCTTAAAAAAAAAATACATTTGAAAAGACAAGGTTAAAATTGTTGACAATTTGACTATACGAGGTCTCCTCAGAAAATAATCCAACTTTTTGAGCACACTATTTTTTTCGACTTTAATGAAATTATACATTTTGAATTCTTGCCTCAATGTGAAATAGTGAACTGTGTGTACTACCAAGGCGTTTTACAACAGTTACGTGAAAAAATTTACAAAAAGAGATCAGAGTTGTGGCTAGACATGGTAGTTGCACCATGACAATGGATAGGGGAGTACTTTGAAGAAGAAAGGGAACAATAATGTATAAATTTTAAAAGATAAAGTTCGGTTAATTTTTGAATAGACCTCGTATTGATGTGAATTGTTTCTTTAGTACCTAGAAAGTATTGGACAACTTTCTTTCTTTTTTTAATTATGTATTTTACTATTAAATATTGTAATTTTACTCTATTTTAAAGATACTAAGCTAGTCTATATAAATTCAAAAAATTTTCCTAATATCAAATGATGTTAAGAATTTTGTCTGTGAGGTTAGACATTTTTTTGGATATCTAGATATTTGCTATCAAAAAACATTGCTTGCCTTCATTCGATAAGATTTTGAGGAAAATATTTTGAATTAATTTGAAATAGCTTTGAAATAACATAAAAATACAAGACCTAATAAATGATTTTCAAAACTTAAAACTATTTGAAATATAATATGTACGTCCCAGTAGTAACGCAAAAAATTCATATTTTATTTCGTGTTGAGTTTTCACAAAAACGCTAAAACACGTCAATTAGTAAATTAGAATTGTCGTTTTGTCACGTTGCTTAAACCTTTTTTGCGCTATGTTTCATAAACCTATGACGTCATCGACATTTTTTTTAAATAGCACCACCTAATTTTTTAAGCATAAATGGATAGCCCTTTTGAAGGGAAATGCGTCGATATAGGGTTTGGCCTACTTTAGTTTGACAGGAGCGAAAAAAAAGCCAACGATTGGAATGAACATGGTTTGAATTAATAACAAAAATAGGTATCACAAACTTATGCGCGAACAGTGCTATAGCAAAAAATCTGTTTTGGTTGATTGTTGGCACATGTTTTTATGTAGATTGGGTAGGTACACCCGATCACAGTGGCTATGTAGGCATTGTTCTGAAGACGACAGTTAGCGAATGCAATAGTGCCTCATATCATTGTCACAGTTACAAATACCATAACTTTACATTACGATGGTGTTGTGTTTAAATGAGAAACAAAGAACTGAAATCCTAATTATGGTTGAATACGGAGATATAGGATCCGTAGTTATGATGAAATATGTCAATTATTCAATGCCAAGTATCCAGAACAACCAATACCTCCGTGTACAGTATGCAGATTAGTACCCAAATTTGAAGACGCTGGCCATGTTAGAAATGTGTCTAGATCTAGAAGGCCAACGACAGTGACAGAAAATGATAGGCAAAATGTTATGTTTAGCTGTCACTGAAAATCCACACATTGCCATTCGTCGTATCGCCGCAAACGCCAACATATCAGTACATAAAAACGTACCTACAATCAACCAAAACACAAAACATCCCCAAATTTCCATTTTATACTGTGGCACTGTTCTCGCATCAGTTTATGATACCTACTTTTGTTGTTATTTTAAACCATGTCCATTCCAGTCATTGGCTTTTTTTTCGCTCCTGTCAAAGTAAAGTAGGCCAAACCCTATATCGACGTATTTCCCTTCAAAAGGACTATCCATTTATGCTTAAAAAATTAGGTGGTGCTATTTAAAAAAAATGTCGATGACGTCATAGGTTTATGAAACATAGCGCAAAAAAGGTTTAAGCAACGTGACAAAACGACAATTCTAATTTACTAATTGACGTGTTTTAGCGTTTTTGTGAAAACTCAACACAAAATGAAATATGAATTTTTTGCGTTACTTCTGGGACGCACTGTATATATTCTTCCGAGTAACTGCATTTAGAAGTTTTATTGGACCTAATACTTTCTAATAATTTTTAAATGTTTACATTATTATTATAATTACTTTTTGTTCCTTTTTGTGTGTAATGTTAATTTTTAATATTTGAATTTAAAATGTGCAATATTCATTTTTCTTTTCTCTCCATTTCCTTCAATAAAATGTTAAGTTACTTAGTGTACACGCATTTTCTGGATACTCTGTGTATAGACACTTAATTATAAATGAAAATTCAAAACATAGGTACGTTTAGTTCAATTTTTGAAGAAGAATTATAATAACAATTAGTTCAACTTAAATCCAGTGACTATAAACTCTTAGATTTAGCATTTCAATAGTAAGAATACGTTTCATTAACTATGCAAACCTTATTTAGCGGAAGCTGTAATTATGATTATTATTTTATAAGTACTAGTTTGAGTTACTACATAATAAATTAATTGTCTGTTTCTGTAATCCAGATGTTCAGGATTGTTCATAAAGTTCTGAAGTCATTCAACTTAAAAGTGTTGGATAATAGTGCAAGTTATCACTTTTAGCTACTATCTCTAATTAAGTTTTTACGAAATATCACTAGACACTGGTTATTTCATCAACAAATTCCTTATGTAGTTCTCTTATCCCAATAAAAGAATAGTTTTACGTTAGGTTAGTTTTGAGTACAACTACTCAAGATAAAACTTTATTGGAGCCTGGAAAATGTAAAAGTGAAGATAGTGAATGATTCTTAAGGGACACATAACATGAACACTTAATACAGTATTTTTATTTGTCATTTATTTTAATTGAAAACATAATACAAAAATAATGGTGGAATAACTGTCAGTCGACGATGAGGATTGTGAAGGATGTATGAAGTATGACCCTACAAGGATATAGTAATCATAAAGAACAACTTAAAAGTACTTTCATCAATAATATACAAAGTTCCAAAATGAACAAGATCTTTTAAAAATAAGAAAAACAAAAAGATTTATTTTATCCAAATAGTCCTCTACCGACAGCGATATGTACGGTCTAAAAGCATCTCGAATGAGTGCTTTAGATCGTCAGCCAGGATGTTCTTCAGGATGTAGGTACAAACCTTTTGGATGACTTTTACGTCCACAAAAGGCTTTCCTTTCATCGCAAATATTTTTTTTTCGAAAAGGTAAAAGACGGACGATGCCACATCAGGTGAATACGTGGAGTGGTGACAGTCAAAATGCAATTTTTAGTAAAAAAAATCGGTCACAAGTGTCGATCGATGAGAGGCGCATTATCGTGCAACAAACGCCAACTTCCTTCTGCGCGACGTATTGTCCGATTATGACGAAAACGATGCACCAAACACTTCAAAACGCATTAATGGTTTGACATGGTGAAATGAACTCTTTGAGGACAATGCCCTTGGAATCGTAAAAGCAAATCAACATTGTCCTCACTTTTGACTTCTGCAAACGAGATTTTTTGGTCTGGGCAGTTTACTCGGCACTTTGGCGCTTGGTTTCTCGATCATGTTGAAAACACCACGTTTCATCACTAGTCACAATGTTGTAATGGAAGTTTTTGTCCTCTTTTGGCATCCTTAATAATGTCTTTCGAATGTTGAATTTTAAACATTTTTTGGTCGTATAAACCCTGCAAACACTTTTCAGTAGCCCTACCTTGTTTTTACTATTACTTAAAATTTTAGTGGTACTGTAACTTACTATACTGTACTGTTTAAGAGATTATGAATAAAATTCATTGTTAAGATTTTATTAATCTCATTAAAGTACATAAAAAAAACTGTTTTGTTTCTGATTTGCTGGAGCCCAAATATTCGGCCAAATTGCAATAAATTGTTGTTTTTGATATGCTTAATTCCAATTTTATGAATTTCAATGAAGATTTGGCTGATACTTGAATTTACGCAAAGTTTTAATGGAATCTGGGGTGATCACGGATTTCGGTTGCTCATCATTTATGTCCTCACTACCATTTTTAAATCACGTACACCATTCATGCCACGGAATAAACAATCATCACCATAAACTTGGTTCATTAAAAGAAACTTTTCGGTAAAAGTTTTACCAAGTTTAAAACAAAACTTAATACTCTTTGTTCGATGCTCATTATTGTACCGATGCCAAAAACATACCGTCAGTTCAGACGCAATAACTCCGTTTCTATTCATTCAAATGTCATGAAATTTTGAAAGTACCTCAGAGAGGGATCTACCTTTCCGGCGTATGTAATTGTCAATGGATGGCTTCACTAGAAATACTTGTTTTTAAAAAGTCCTGATTACTTTGGAACGCACATATGCAACTGAGAGTAATAACTGATATTCAAATAAGTTTAACGACTCAACCTTGAAAATATATTTGCTCAAACTTAATTCAAAGGTAATGTTAGCTATTATTAACTGCAGATGTCACTTGTTACCAAACTGCAAGATATATCTAAAAAATTACCATACCAAATTCAATTTATAATTATACATAACGAATCCCATAGAGCAGCTCTGATTGCTGCCTTTAAGAAAAGTGCGTTTAATGTTTTTCTTACTATCAACACAATTTTCGTGTTTGAACTTAGGTTATCTGCTTTTATGTTTAGGAGTCGTATTCGTTCAATTACGTAATAAATGTTGAGGGTATTATCAGTCAACACAATGAACACCGTCATTTCGACGTAACCAGAGGTTCCTACAGCTTTTTGCAGCCAGATGGACAAGTACGAGTGGTGGAGTACCAGGTGGACACCGATAATGGCTTCAAAGCTTTTGTTAAGTACCGAAAAATATCAAGTAAGTAATATCCACAACTTTAGTGTAATCTAATTCTGCATATACCTACTTTCATTGAATTTTTCTGATCCAATACTTTTAAAGTACTTGTCTATCTAATAAAAGAAAAATCTTATAAAGTAGATACAAGCCAGTCCTTACGTATATTTTTGATTTATATATTTGATTTACATATTTACATAATATTTGATCTGTTAGAAATACGGTCATTACTGCAAATGATTAGGCATTGCTAAATCCTTACTTTTATTGTAATTTCTAGAATGCGTCTAAGGAGACGAAACGTAATGCAAGCTGACATGTCTTTGTCATTTTCAATTGAATATATGATAACTACTGATTATATTATGTACTTTAAGGCCCGGTACTTTGAGTCTCGGTTAAGGCTTAATTAACTAATCAGGCGATTAGACTGTGATTATAGTTATAAAATAAATCAAATATGTATAGTCTAATCACTGAATCAATCAAGCTTTAACCGAGACTCAAAATACCGGGCCTTAGTGTTATAAATATATTAGAAATAACACTATACGCTTTTAATAATATAACAAATTTACACCGAAGGATAGATAGTATACTAGTATATTTTTTAGGTAAGACAATAAATAAAGATTGTGTGATGAATTTAGAAGGGTATAACACTGCAAATAAGTAATAATTTTAATATTAATAATATAAATTGTATTCAATTGTTATACATCTTCTAGCTACATTTTTAATTTTTTTTAAGTTATGAATGCTTTTTGTATGAAGTTCAGTAGTCTGTCTGCTCAGCGACGTTTTCCTTCTGTCTCAATATGTTTATCAATGAACAAAAATGTCAAACATAAAGATTCGCTTACAGTGTCCAATCAAGACATATTGTTTTCCCTACCGCAATCTTTTTATCATTTGCTTTTTCTCTATAAGGGAATAGTTGTCCCTAAGGAGCTTATTCTGATTTCGGGTCACTATTTATTTATAAGGCTTAACTTCCGTCCATCAGATCATGATTTTCTAATAGGCTTATATGCTTTTCTATTCCATTTGTCGTTTTCATGATCTGGTATTCAAAACAGCTGATTGTATTGGGTAGGAAACCTTATAGCCACAATTATAGACATTTTAATCTAAAATTTGTTGCTTGGAACTTAATGGTACGATGTATTCGTAATAATTTAATCATTTTTTTATTGAACAACATTATATCACCTACTCAATATGGTTTCTCAATTGTTAGATATGTTGCATGGTATTTGTTTCAGAATTTAATTGAATAGACATCATACTTTACGTATGCAGATGAACCCGTGGATATAATTTATTTGGACGTTTCGTCTGTCTTTGGTAAATAAACTGTTGCTGGAATATATAGCAGTACGCAGTAGGCTATTATGATGGATCGAATCCTATCTTAGTAGTTTTAAAGGAAGACCTTGCGAAATCTGAAGATGTCCAAAGATGTGCTGCTAATATATCCATCAGATTTATGTCTCGGGGCTGATTATACTAACACTACTTAAAGATGGGTGCCAAGTTTGGGCCCAATACGTCCGTCTTAGAAAAGTGTACTGTCGTACGTTTTTTGGTATGCTAATTACAAATGTGATCTCCGTTTTACTGTAAAATAAGTCGTATCAGAAATAGAGAGGAAAAACTTAATGTGTGCATTATAGGGGAAGAGCGACTCCTGCAGAAGGAATGATATTTTCTGTATAGGTATTCTTATAGACTTAAACAAGGTAGGTGCAGAAGCCACTCGTGGCTAATGTTGCCAATGTAATAACGAACTTAGAACGTTAGGATGATGTGCGCTCGTTATGACAGAAACTATAAGACTACCCCAAGACTAACCGTGAGTGGTAACCATTTATGGCAAAAATACTTTTTGAAATATTTGAAAAATTCATAATAAACTGAGGTCAGAGGTTTTGCGAACCAAAATACATGGAAATACCATGGTTTAGTCCGTTGCGCACGGCTTTTTTCATTTGTGGGTCAGTGTAACTTTTGAACTCGAACAGCTTTGAAAACCAGTATCTTAGAAACCTCTCAATTTTGAGGGTTATGGCTATTAGCATTTTTCTTTGCTAGACCAAGTACTACAACTTCGTACACTTTTCAAACTTGGACGTTGTGGGTCTAAAGACCCATAAGACTTTGGCACCCTTCTTTTAAGCCGTGATTAAGTAGTAAATTAATTTAGTAGGTGTTTTACAGATGTCTTAAATACTTTTTTTGCAGTTTAAGAAAACCTTTTCTAGTACACTTATGCAATTACTTTGAAGTTTAAGCGCAACCTAAAATTTAACTAACAATTGTGCAAATGATTCTTAAGCACTTCTTATTCTGCAGCCTGATTAGGATGGGAGCATGTGTGAAGATCTTATAATAAGATGCAGTGTCCTCCATAATAAAATCTGCATTTCTCATTTTAAAATTCAGACTACGAGCTCATTTCAAATAAAAAAGGTACATTTTCTCACCGGTTCAGTACAGTGTTTTCTCTCGATATGTGTTGGTGTATTTGATGTGTGGAATTCACTACTAAATAATAATTTTTTTGAACTTGACTCACCTGTAATATGCTTATACCTATAGTTTTTTACGTGTTTGGTTTATTTAGTTTTTTGTTTATCAAGATCATGTTTATTAATAATAATATCTAGATTTACATAATGTAAATGAATGTAACAAGCTTTGGCTACCAGTTTATGTTTGTAACATCTTCTTTAATTTTCCACAATCAGTTACCGTAGAAGTTTCTCTTGGAATGCAAACTTCTATGCTGTAATAATTAATTTAGATATTTTCTCGAGTTGTCCCTTAATAGAAACAAATGTGTTCATAATTATAAACAATTTTGTTCACAACTTTTTTCAATAATCCAGCTATGACCTTGTTTTGGGTTGAGGAAAGTACAATAAAATGTTTTACAAGTTAAAAAAAATTGTTTTTAAACACTCTATGAAGATACAAGACACGGATTATTTAAATAAAACATATGTGTTAATATTTATGAGTAATTTCTGGTTTCACGCGAAATAATTCGGTTATGTAACTACTTTGTAAAACGGCCCAGATAAAACAATCTTAATTTCCATCAAGGATATTGTAAAGGTAGTAATTACAAAAATTGTCTATCTGATGTAATAAAAATGCAAATTTGTGAGAAGCTTTAATTTGTGATATTGCTCCGGATGAGGTTATATAAGAACTTTATGCAAATTAACTGTTGGACTTTTTATGTGTGGTTGGATGTGTTAGGTTCATCGTTTAGTGGTGATGAAAGCAACATCAGATTGAAATAAGTAGAGTAGAACTTGACGTTAACTTTACAATGAAGGAAGTCACAAGTCGTTTAACTTAATTTATCACTAAAGCCCACTCATTAAAATGTTGATCTAAATTAAATAGACATACCGAGTGTACGATAATATGTAATGTCAAGTAATGATTATATAAAATTATTTAAGTGTCAGGGTGTTAATGATGATGATGATTTAATTTAAAATGAAATCTTCTCTATTTTTAAATTGTAAATATTCTCTTTATAAAAATTATTATTCTCTCGTTTTTTTGGTGCTAAAGATGCTTTTAACTTTTACTTAGTAACATTATTCCGACTTTTTGAAGATGTTTTTAAAATGGCAACTCTGTATAGAGATACATTTTTCCGTTTTTTGAAATAATTTTTAAAATTTCTTTAATGAAAACAGAATAAGTAGAAGAAAATCTTTCATCCTAAAGGTATGGTCAGGTTTGGTAGCGGAATTGTGGACAGTCATCGACAAAATAATTTTTCAAGCAGTTTAAAGTAAATCAAAGAGACCACATTGACAGAAAATGTTCCTGTATATACTTTGTAATCTGTATTTTTCTCGTTCTGCGACTGTTTTTTTTTGGGTGGTGGTATCTAATTAAATAAGTAAATAAAAACGTTAATAACAAATTGCTCAATGACTAAGCATGCTGCTCTGAATCTAAAATATGTTTGATTTGTGAACGATTTTTAGTTCGCGAAAAGTCCTTCGGAATTTTTCACGAATTTTTCCTAGCAATCCATTGATTGCTTGAGAGTTCTTCACCATGAACCAAAAGTCGCTCACTACTAAAACGACTATCTAATTAACTAGATACAATTACTTACCTAATAGAAATAAAAAACATACAGTTTGGGAAAATACAGATAACGAAGTACATACACAAATTGCTTTGTATCAGTATGGCCTCTTTAACCTATTCTAAGATTTATATCGTTCACTATTTTTCCTTAGCAAGCCTGGTAGAACTCTACTCAAAACGAAAAAAACATTTTGTCTCTCCCTTATGTTAGAGTTACGTACTTTTTATCATTATTTGGTTTCATTTTTAGTAATAACTAAACCTAAATGTATTAAAGTTTTAATAATGATCTGTTGGTTATGCAACATATTGCCTTTAAAAGGTAATTTAGACGTATTACCTTTGATTGTGGTCGTCTACACGTAGTATGAACCAAATCATACATCTCAGTTCATGCGTTGTAGGTTACCTTTCTAAAACCGCATAAGCAATAAATGTTAAATAATGTAAATATTTACAATAATAACCCTTCAAAATTTTAAGGTGTCCCAAATACTTTTTAGTTTAAAGAAATATATTTTTACACTTTAGATTTTTTGTAAAAGACCTATAAGCTACAGTATAAAATCAAAAAAAGATAGTGACATAAAATTGGTTAAACAACTATATACTGTTTTCCAATAATAAAAAATATGCCTTTTCATAGTTAATGCAGAAATATGGCAGAAGTATCATGCGACTACGTTCGTTGACATATCTTCTTTAAAGTCGCTAAAACTTAAATTGTTAACTTTCAGATTATATGGGATCTATTTATGTTAAAATATCTTCCAAGTCTTAAATTGGTTATATTTCCCTATTTAGTTTTATGCAGATCATTCCAGTAATAAGTCGTCGGTAAACTATTTTTTTAAAATTGCAAATAAAAAAAAATATGTCTAATTCTATTAAGG